GGCCTGAGTAAATTTTTCAAATTAGGGTAAACAACACAAAGAGCGTTCATATGTCAAAATGTTCTGAGTACGTATAATCTCAAAAACGTCAGTCTTTACGATAGAGCTGTCAGTTGCCAGATTGCAACACTAGGGTTGCTCAATCCCAAAATTTTAAAGGCAACCCTCGTAAAACAGTACCATCGTACTTGGGATTTCAGGAGGGAGACATGGTTTTCCTTCTGAGACGTTAGGTTTCTTCCCTTCAACTCTTCAAATTAAATACTTCCTTACTTTTCGAGCTTCTCCCCTGAGCTTTCAACCCTAAGAACTGCTCTTCATTTTTGAAGGAAATATAACTGCGATCATGATGAAGTGCTCTCAATTGTTAGAAACTTTCGCGTTAAAATTAAACTCCACTCTTGCTCCCCAGTGGCCATATTTCGTGACGTGAACCCATTATCTCGTCGACAGAATCGTCCTTGATATTCAAGCTATTGACGAGAGCCTTGGGATCTCTGTACGGTGGCGTGCCCGTTAGCGTGAAGAGGGCCAACATTCTTAGGTTAGATCTTCTTTCGTACGGGAGGAACATGAGGGCAAGAATGGATCTCGCAGTATTTCATCAAATCCTTCATATCGTGACCGGTTTGATTATCTACACACTATACTGCTCATGTCGTCTCTCTGTTAGGAGCGCGTATGTGGCCTAGACAATGACTTGCGGTGGCCAGCCGATGTACAAGTCAGTGTTTTTATCCTCCTAGACGAGCCTGGTACCAATTATCCGACCCCGAAGGGATGAAAGGCTTGGTTAGCCTAGGCGGGTATCGATCCGGGATTCGAATCCCTGACCGTACGTGTGATACAGTGCGCCACTTGCCACTACACCACCTCCGCCCAGAAAGATTACATAAATTAATAAAGTAAATTTAAACAATAAAGAAATTTGCTTCGAGCGTATCACTTCAATTTTCACCTATCCCCTGGGACTCATGAAGCTTTGGAAGCTCCCAAGAACAGTTCAGGAAAGCGTTCAGTTCCGTAGAGTATTTAAATGATTTATACCATAATTTTAGTCATTTTCACTGTATCTGTTGTCACGTGGTGAATTCATATTTGTTGTGATGAAGGCTGATTTTTGATTTTACGCTCTCCTTTTATTGTTCTAACTCATGTAACAAATATAATTAGATGGACATAAAACTCTCCGAATGGCTTGGCCAAGCATGCTTGCCATTAATGGATGAATCACCGTAAAAACAACTATTTTTAATTAACTCAAAGCCTCTGATGATATGAGGAATGGATTATGTCAAGATGGCAACATAGAAGCGCATCAAAACCTTGAGTAAGTAACTTTCCTCAAAATCGGATTTGACGATTCTTTTATCTTTATAGAAGATCTTTCCCTGAACAAATCCATGATGTTCACTGTAATGGACTGTGGCCAGAGTTGGCTAGATTAAATAAGAAGTCCAAAGATTAATTGCCACTTCATTGAAAATTATAGTTCGAAGTTCAGAAGGGAATAATGCTAAGTATATCTGTATTCAAGTAAATTGTTCAAGTATGGCTTATGTCCCACTTTAATTGGGGAGTTCCTAGGGGATGATTCATTTTCATACACTAATTTCACCAAGCGGATCTAATACCATGCTAAATCAACAATTCGACATCTCCCTATCCCAATGAATGCTAAGATTCAGACGAAAAAGGCCTCTCAGAGTAACAGGCAGATGAATTACAGGAAGTGAGGTCAGGCTCCGAAATCGAGTCAGGGACATGGTCCCTAGTAAATCATTTTTCCTCCTGCTGTTCCTTTGTTTCATATTTTGCAGCCTTTCCTTCCGCCAGCTTCTAATTTCTGTATAATCTGACGTAAGTGGGTTATAATAGGCGACTTTGGTTTGGCCACGATGCGATTCTGTTGATATGAGGCTGAGGCTCGAGAAGGCGAGTGGGAGCCCCGAACAAAATCAGCTAATTGTAAGACGTGAATTTCGCACCATTGAACATCACGTGGGAAATGACGTTGGCTACTGTTTACTCCCAAACGAGCTTGGTTCATTCGTTAGAATCACACCCAAACTCTTTTGCTTTGGGATAGGTAGTTATTCCTCAATAAATTGGATGCCGATGCTCCAGAAGCGCCCACTTTCAAAAGCATGTGGCATATGTACTATTTCCATGGTCTCATCAACTACGTCATTCATACATATCAAATATTATGGCCCTAATGGGA